ATTTAAAGGACATATTCTGATCAAAGATGACTCACAGGTTCCTCACAGTAGTACTGGAGGCAAGGGCTATGTCATCTAGAGTAACTATATGATTAGACAGCAGATTTCTAAGGTTTTCAGGCCCAAGCACAATAACTTCAGTTTTGTCAGAGTTTAGAAGTAAGAAGTTGCAGGTCATCCAGGCCTTTATGTCTTTAAGACATGCTTGAAGTTTGACCAGCTGACCTGATTCATTTGGCTTCATAGATAAATATAACTGAGTATCATCTGCATAGCAATGGAAATTTATGTTGTGCTTCCTGATAATATTGCCTAAAGGGAGCATGTATAAAGTGAAGAGAATTGGACCTAACACAGAGCCCCATGGAACGCCGTGACTAACTTCAGTTTGTGTGGAAGAGTCATCATTAACATGAACAAACTGGAATCCTTCTGATCTGTAAGATTTGAACCAACTTAGTGCAGTTCCTTTAATCCCAATAACATGTTCAAGTCTCTGTAGTAAGATGCTGTGATCAATGGTGTTAAAAGCAGCACTGAGATTTAAGAGGACAAGTATAGAGACAAGTCCTTTGAGGCGAGGAGGAAATCGTTGGTGACTTTCACCAATGCAGTTTCTGTACTATGATGGACTCTAGAACCTGACTGAAAAATCCTCAAACAAATCATTCTTGTGCAAGTGTTTCACATAACTGCTTAGCAACAGCTTTTTCCAGAATTTTAGAAATAAACATGAGATTGGATATTGGTCTATAATTAGTAGCTAGGACACCTGGGTCAAGAGTAGGCTTTTTGAGTAGAGGTTTAATTACTGCAAGTTTAAAATCCTGTGGAACATAGCCTGTTAATAGAGAGAGGTTAATCAGATCTAATATGGATGTGTTGATTAGGGGGAATGATGTCTTTGAGCAGCCTGGTCGGGATATGGTCTAGGATGATTTAGATGAAGCAGTTGTTGAGGTCAACTCAGAGAGATCTACTGTATGAGAGAGACCCAGTCCTAGTATAAATGAGGTCTTACAGATGTAAAGCCATTGTAGTAGATGGTACATCTGTGAGAGTTGTGGGAAGGATTTGATAAATTTTTTCTCTAATAGTTGTAATTTTATTTGTAAAGAAATTGATGAAGTCATTACTACTGAGATCTAAGGGAATGTGAAGCTCAACAGCACTGTGGCTCTTTGTCAGCCTGGCTACAGTGCTGAAAAGAAACCTGGGGTTGTTCTTATTTTCCTCTATCAGTGATGAATAATATGCTGTTCTGGGACTACGAAGGGCTTTTTTTAAATTTTTTTTATACGTTATTTAATTATCTTTCCAGGCTATGAAAAACTCTTCTGACTTAGCGGAGTGCCACCTCCTTTCCAGTTTTTGTGATGCTGCTTTAGGGAGCGGAGCTGCGAGCTGTACCACAGGGCTAGCCTCCTCTGTTTCAGTGTCTTCTTTTTCAGAGGGGCAACAGTATCAATTGTATTACGCAGGAAGGCTGCAGTACTATCAACAAGATTATCGACTTGTGTGGGAGTAAAGTTAAGGTGGCCTCCCTCCACTGTGTTGGCAAACGGCACTGAAGTAAATAATGATGGAATTATTTCCTTAAACTTGGTAACAGCATTGTCGGATAGACATCTACTGTAGTGGAATTGTTTCCCACATAGAGTATAATCTATTAATGTAAATTCAAAGGTATTAAAAAATGGTCAGACAGAAGAGGGTTATGGGGAAAAACTATTAAGTGTTCAGTTTCGATGCCATATGTCAGAACAAGATCAAGGGTGTGATTGTGATATGTGTAAAATTATGTGTGTTGACATATCAACTGTCTTTACATGCTTGAAAGAATAAATCAAATCAAATCAAATCAAATCAAAACAATGAGTGGGTTTATTTACAGTTTGAAAAAAGCCAACTGAGTCTAATAATGAACTGAATGCACTGTTGAGACTGTCATTGTCGGCATCTACATGAATATTAAAGTCACCCACTATGATTATTTTATCTGTACTAAGTACTAAATCAGACAGAAAGTCTGAGAATTCAGTTAAAAAATCTGAATAAGGAGCAGGTGGATGGTATACTATGTTTAGGCATAGGGTTGAGTAATAGGTTTGAGTCAAAGATCACTGCCACACCTCCACCTCGGCCTGTGCTTCAAGGGATGAGACAGTTACTGTGACCAGGTGGAGTGGATTCATTTAGACTGACATATTCTTCCTGCTGTAACCATGTTTCAGTAAGACACAATAAGTCAATGTGATGTTCACTTATCAAATCATTCACTAACAGAGATTTAGATGAGAGAGATCTGATATTTAATAGTCCACATTTGATTGTCCTCTTTTCTACTATAAGAGGAGTTGTCTTAATTTTAATTAGGCTCTTATGAAAAACTCCTCTTGAGTTGATTTTTGATTTATATAACTTAGGTGGTCGAGGCGCAGACACAGTCTCTACGGGGTACTTGGAGTTTTGGGTGGGTAGCAGCTGCAAAGAGACTGCAGAGAGGTGTGTAAGACTGCGACCCTGCATCCTGGACTCAACTCTGGGTTGTCATAATTTAGGTTGTAATATAATCTTGTCCAGATTTCTAGATATGACAGCTGCACCATCCAAAGTGGGATGGATGCCGTCTCTGCTAATCAGACCAGGTTTTCCCCAAAATGTTTTCCAGTTGTCTATGAAGCCCATGTTATTTTCCGGGCACCATCTAGACAGCTAGTGGTTGAATGACAACATGCGGCTAAACATGCCATCACTGGTCAGATTGGGCAGAGGTCCAGAGAAAACTATGGAGTCCGATATTGTTTTAGTGAAGTTACACACTGACTTCTGGAGGCCCACACTTTTTTTTCTGAGGTCTTGGCTGATTTCCTTTGATTTTCCCATGATGTCAAACAAAGAGTTACTGAGTTTGAAGGTCAGTCTTAAACTAGATCCACAGATGCACTTCATATTGACTCAAATGTCATCAATTAGCCTATCAGAAGCTTTTAAAGCCATGACATCATTTTCTGGAATTTTCCAACCTGTTTAAAGGCACAGTCAACTGGGTGTATGTAAACTTCTGACCCGTTGGAAATGTGATACAGTGAATTATGAGTGAAATAATCTATCTGTAAACAACTGTTGGAAAAATTACTTGTGTCATGCATAAAGTACATGTCCTAACCAATAAGCGTATGTTAACATGACATGAATAAAAAAAGTTTTAATCACTAATTGTATGTTAACATCTGACTTCAACTGTACCCACACTGCAGATTGCAAGAGTTTGTGTCTGCTGGTGGTGCAGACATACAAAAGTTAAACAAATTTACACATCCCATCTCAGACTCACAAAGGTGGGCTGCAATGGAGAAAATGGCATCCTATTAAAAAAGAGACACATTACTCTGACTGTATAATAAACCTATACTTGTTGTATAAAAGGTGAAAATTTTAAAAACTTGAAAGTCATGAATGAAGTAGGTGGAAAAAGCTCTGTAAAAATGGCAAATGTTAAATTCAAAGAAAATCGAACTACACAAATATACAAACACATAAACACAGTCTATCCTTGGGTTTCTTTGAATTTGATGATATAAAAAAGGAAACCCCTTTTCCCACCTTCTTGTTCATTCATTCAGCCCATCTTTCCATGCCCATCACTGTGTTTGACTCAAGATATTACCCTTCTGGAATTTGATTTCTAATTTGTTGTGGATAACTGATTTCTGGGGATAGACGCATGGTCCTTTTCTCAGTGCCTTTGCCTGCTGGTTGTTTCTCTCTGGTTAATGACATGTCTGCTTAAACATTTTGGCAGGGAGTACACAAGAAGACAGTTAGGTGCACAAGGCTTAATAACTAAAAATTTTAGCTATTAGCCTCTGTGTGAGGCACTTAGTTCACAGTGTTTTTTTTTCTTTTTAGAATCCATACCACATTTACTTATTTAATTTTTTCCCTCTCTTTTATCTCCCATCTGTGCTTCCTGGCTGAAAGGTGCTTTACTTGTAAATCAATAAGGGACCAGAGTTTCATAGAAACAGTAGAAGATGCTGCTCAAACCAATGCAGTATTTTATCCATCTATCCATTAACTATACCACTTCATCTTGAAGAGGGCCACAGAGGGGCCAGAGCCAATCCCAGCTGACACTTGGCGAGAGGCAGGGTACACCCTGGACAAGTCGCCAATCTATCACAGATCAAGTGTGGTTGTCTGTCTCTAAGTGTTAGCCCTGTGATAGACTGGCGACCTGTACAGGGTGTACCCCACCTCTCACCGAGTGTCTGGCACCTCTGTGGCCCTCCTCGGGATAAGCAGTACAGGTAATGGATTGATGGTTGTTTACTTTCTTAAGTGTTAAAAATTGCCTATAATGAGGCCTGTGTATGTGATTTTTTATGCAAATTAACTGAGCTGACAGTGACTTCAGAAAGGAAATGAAGATGATGTCTTGTCTTTGTCAGGTGTGTATCATTGGTTGTGAAGGTGACCTCTCCACAGCCTTTTCCTGGGATTTCTGCCATAAGGCACTGTCAGTGCCAGTGTCCTCCCTAGGTGGCACCATGCAGAAAAGGCCTGAAGAGGAGGTCGAGGCCCTGTTTCCTGAGGTGGAAGAGAAGGTAGAGGGAGGTCTTTTGGTGCCCATTGCTTTGCAGAGGTTTGATCATGTGACCCGGGCACTCAGGGTGGATGAGCGGGATCAGAATGGCAAAGGCAGTCAACTAAGCACTGCTTACAATTCCCAGGATGCCCTGCCCCTTGAATGTGAGGGGGACGCAGGGCAGGAAGAAGGTGATGCTGACATAGCAGCAAGAGGACAGGATGACGTAAGTTTGAGCGTTTCCAAGAGGTTTGGCGGTTTTGTCAAAGGGAGGCATGGCTACAAGAAGTTGATGTCTCCAGGAAGATCATATCAGAAGAGGTATGGTGGCTTCATTGGCATTCGGAAGTCAGCCCGCAAGTGGAACAACCAAAAACGTTTCAGCGAATTCCTGAAGCAGTATCTGGGCATGAGCACTCGGGCGACTGAGTTCAACAGTGTGTCAGAGGACCTCACCCAACAGAATGAAGTTTAGCAATCTGCACTATTAAGGTATTGCCATAAAACAATTTTCTGATGTATTGTCACTTATCTTATTTTGTATATCAATTGTCAAGGTGTCATTGGATCAAAGTCATTTACCAAAATTGAAAATGAAGTCCATAATTAAAAACCTCTTTGTCACAAGACATCAAAATAGCTGTTTCAGTTTTTGTCTTTTATTTATCTGGGAAACTATATATGTTTAATTATCAAACCTATTTATATGCATCCTCATTGATTTTAATTCTCCCATGGAGTAACTACAAACTTTGTCCCCCTTCTGGGGCCAAATAATGGTTAAACATCATCAGCTTCCATATGAATACTCAACCATTTTTTGGCACATTTAAATGTGTATTATGAACCCATTAATTTCTGCACTGGGTCGTGTTTAAAGTGTTAAATCTTACTACATGAAGGTCTCTGGCTTTGTGGAGGGGTGGGGGAGAGGGTATATCAAGTCTAGCAGAAAAACTACTACCATCTTGTGGTCAAATGTATAACCCAGTCCTTGTAAAAAGAAAATACAAGTGTTTTTCATGCTTTGACATTATTGTTAAGATAATGTTATCAGTAATCCACTGTATAACCTACTGCTGTATATGATTTGTGGTAAATGAATGAAAACATGCAAAAACTCCCAGATTTATTGGTATTCTCTTTTTCAGACACACAATATATAACATTGCTGCTTCATTAGTCTGTTAAAGTGATGCCTTTCTGTCATAGGTCACTTTTATGTTAATGTTCCTCATGGCTTCATTTAGACATACCCATGATTGTGACAGAAAGAGCAACAGTACGTGTGTAAGACCGAACAGCAGCATTGAAACACATGTAATGTACAAGGCCAAAGTTTTCTTAAGAGAGCATAGTGCACAAACAGGAGCTCGTTCAAGGAGAAAATAGCTTTCTCATGGTATTACTGTTTAGGGCATTTTCTAAAACTATCATGGTTTTTAGTGAGGTAAGCAACTCACAAAGACACAGAAGAGACATGACACTGTCAGGATTGGTAAGTTTACTATATGAAACGCTGTGCCCTAATTGTAATCTTGTGCATGCCTGTCCATTAATGTGACTGTAAGCAGTTTAGACTTGCACCGTGCTGAGAGCAACATGTAAATGTTATTAGGTCTGACCCAGTAAGATTGCTTTTGTGACTTTTACAGAAAAGATACCAGGGTGTTCATTCAGACATGAAGCTAACACATTCCACTGCTGTCAGATTAATGGAAAAGAGTGCAGGACTGAAAGGGGCTTAAGTCAAAGCACATTTGAGACAGGGCTGCTGGGGCAGTTTTATTTAAAAGGTCTCCATATAAATCTGGTGCATCTGCAAACTGAAACATAACATTCATACATAATTGCTATAGATCTTGGCAAGCTGTTGTGACAAGTGTACAAGTTAGCATCATCTCTAACTGGCTCTTCTGACCATACACCAAATTCCTGCTTGCACAAACAGAATTTGGTGTTTTTTCTTTCAAAAGTATAATGGTGTGAAATGTTATTGTTGCCTACTGTGAGAACTTGTAAATAGCTGAATTTAAACATGTCAATAAAAATAGTTTACTTTTTTCTTTGCTCCTTATCATGCAGCAGCTGATTCTGTGTCTTGAAGTGTTTTGTTCTTAATAATTACAGCCAGTAAGGGGCTGAATTACTTTATTTAAAATGAGAAGGATTTTATGTAACTATGTTTTTTATAAATCAGTTTTAAACAACTGTCAAGAACTACTACTATAACAAATTACAGTTGCCTTTTGTTGGTTTGTCCTTCTGTTAGGTAATAAATCAGTTAAAAATTTAAACTCATTTTGATAAATTCTCCAAGTGGGTATCTCACTTACATGATCCATTAGGTTTACAGTTGTAAATGTTAATTAATTGACATTTGCATAGATAGATTTTAGATTTTTTTTTCTACTGTTGAAAGAGAAACAAGCTCTATTTTGATATATGAAACCAACCTGATTTTTTTTATTTTTGAGAAAGATGTTCAACATGAGTTTTGTGTGATAATCTAGTGTCCAATAATAATAACAGAGTTGGCACCACAGATGGCTGCCTCAGTTCTGTACAAGAGACAAATTCCTTGTGTGTGGGTGGCACAGTGACGTGGTGGTTAGTGCTGATACCTCAGTTCGAGCCCGGGCTGACTGGAGTTTACATGTTCTCCCTGTGCCTGTGTGGGTTCTCTCTGGGTACTCCAGCGTCCTCCAGCAGTCCAAAGACATGCAGCTCAGGTTGACTGGTGACTCTAAATTGCCTGTAGGAGTGAGTCTGAGTGTGTTTGGTTGTTTGTCTACATGTCAGCCCTGTTATAGACTGACGACCTGTTCCGGGTGTATCCAGCCTCTTGCCCAATATCAGCTGGGCAAGAGGCTGGGCCCCCCCATGGCCCTATTCAGGATAAGCGGCATAGATAATGGGATAATCGATGGATGGATAGCCATCTCTCATATTCACAGAAAGATTCATACATTTACAGTATTTAAAGGTAGAGCTGGTGATTCTTTTCAGAAGCATTTTTTGTTACATATCTTGCAGTTCTCCTTTCATCCTGATCGCAATAAACACATTAAATGCACTGACAACATAGAAATATGACTTTAACCAGTTATATGCAGAAACAAAATCCCACAGAAAAGCAGCTTGTTTAACAAAATGTTCTAATCAACAGTATGAAAACCCCAGAAAGATCTACAAAAAGCACAGCACAATGTTGTTTTAATGTGCTCCACAACACCAGCTGCAGCAGTTATTGTTTTATGAGCGGTATAAAGCCTGATTCCTGTTGCTGAAGGACACTATACTACTGAAGGCGACAAGAACCATCGGTTGAGTTGGCGCCGCAGATGGCTGCCTCGGTTCTGTACCGGAAACAAATTCCTTGTGTGTAACATATTTGGCCAATGAAGGTGATTATCCACTATCACCTCAATGTGATCAGATTGATAGTGGTTGAAGCACTCCCGCTGGTGGTTGATGGTTTGACTTCACCTGGGCGCAGGTAGGGCAGGCTGAGACAAACTCCTGGGTGTCAGAAGTGCTGTTTGGCCAGGGCGATGGTATGGGTGGCAGGCGAATCATGAGATGTGGACCCACTGCAACACTTGAGACCTGGCTGCATCTGGGACGAACACATGAATGGGTGGACCGGTACCAGGGTCAGGCTGATCTCTATGGGCTTCCATGACAACGTTCTCAATTTCCCAGGTGACAGCTACTACTAGACAGGAGGTAGGTAAGATGGGGTCTGGCTCGGGGTCCTCCTGATTGGAACTAAACTAGTGGGATAGGGTGTCAGGCTTGGTATTGCGAGACCCTGATAGGAATACCCTGGCAGCATCGTCACTGTTTTTTGTTTATGTGTTGTCCTGGCTTCCTGACCGGTCTTGTATTGAAAAGTGTTCCCCTGTTCAAAACCTGGTTTCATTTAGGACCCCCTCAGTGGTTGTGATTAGGATAATGTTAGGATTCAGGTTTGGGGAAACAGATTTCAACACAATACTAGCAGCAGGAGTTGTGCACGTTCACAAACTATCTTCTCGTTTTTAGGAAGAGGGTCTCTGGTTTTATCATTCTGAAATAATTAGACTATTTGGAGTTATGATGGGTGCAAAGCTAATCAAGATTAAACATTAAATGGCTGGAAATGAGCATGCCATGGGCACTTTAATGAGGCAGTTTTTCTGTCAAGGCCAAAAATTGTCACATTCAGACCCATAATGCAACCGCGCTGCATCAAACATGGCTGATTGTGCATGTTTGGGTACCTCATGTCACACACATGTAAGCAGGTAGAGACCATACAATTATGCATTAAAAGATCATTGAAACAAATAGTTTCTCTTCAAAAATGTTCTGTCTTACTGTACATTCAAAGCTCTGTTTTCCTGCATGCCCAAGACAGCTTTAATATGAACACAATTTCCATGCAATTTCAATCGTTTGTTGTTGCCTCTGGAGAGTGATGGCCGTTTGACACCCGAGGCTCCGACACATGCGCGGTAGCTCATAAAGCAATTGTTTTGAACCATTGTGCCGAGGCGTGTTTCGGTCATGTGACTAGTGATGTTTGAATCACTTGAGTGACGTCCAAAGCAGTTGGGTTCGTCGGACGTCAGGTGAATCAGCTGATTGGTTCGGTTTGTCATGTGAATCACTTTAGATCAAGTGTATTCAGAGATAGAATATCCCCATTTAGTGGCGTTCATTTGAATCTGTCTTTGCAGAGTAGGTTGGTTTGTTGTTTTGAGAGTTAGTAGTGTTGTAGCAGATTGTGTATTTAGTGGAGAATCACTGTAGATAGAGAGATAGATCAATAGTTAGCTAGACAGTAAGTTACATAGAGAAATAGATAAAATAGTTACATAGTTAGATAACACTAGATAGATATAGTTACATAGATAGTCCTAAATAGCGTTAGATATAGATAAGATATAGATATATTACATATATAGATAAGATATATTGCATATATAGTTACCCAAACGTCTATGAATTATCCAAGCATTTCCTGTGTCACCCAGCCTCATCTGTGCCATGACAACAGTAGTAACGCGAAACACGGCAAGAGGAAATTGAGGAGGAACAGATGGACGTCGGATTTCTGCTTCAGTGTCATGACTATGATGCTAGACCAGAACCATCAGCCTTGGACATGGCATGTGAAAAATTAGAAGCCTAGCAGTTTGCAATTGAAGAGCTGCGGCAGAGGCTGACTGAGGTTACACTGAGGCAGTCGTATGGTTTGGACAGATCTGTAGCATCCGATGAAGACATCAGATTCTATTCTATGTGTTCCTCCTCCAGTTTCCTCCGGCCGTTGCATTCGCTCCCACCCGCTTGGTCTACTTGCAGGCAGAGAGTAGTCATTCCAGGCAAACAACACTGGAACGGCTCCTTCTTTCAAACGCCGTCGTCCACATTGAATTACATCTGCGGAGATGAAGTGTCTACTACATACTGTTGTCGTCCTCTTAATTACAAGATTATCACGTCGTACATTACGGATCCATATTTTTCTTAAGGTTTCATCCTTAGGGAAATGGTGAAAGCTTATGGCTGAATTGAACTTCCCTGGCATCGCGCATTGAGGTACGCAGCAGAAATCACTGTTTGGATGATCCCGCTTCTGGTATTTGTATCTTGAAAAAGACATTTTTGTTTTTTGTTTAATCTACGAACTAATCAAATAAAACGAGCTCAAAGAACGTGTTTCGCGTTACTACTGTTGTGTCACCCGCGTTCTGCGGAAAAGCGGAAGTGCACTGATCCGTTTTCCGGTTTGGTCACGTGACGTTCCGCATAACCCCTATAGAACATGTATATCAACTAAAAAACAATACTAGAACAATAAAACCTAAGCAAGAATAAAACACAAATTTCCAATAAACGCCTCCATCAACATACAAATAGCATGAAACAACAAGTTAAAAGACGCCCCTTGGGAGCAAATAAAACGGAATAAACACCAAAGGCCTGTTTAAAAAGGTGAGTTTTTAAAGTTGACTTAAAAACCGCTAGCTCGGTTATGGACCGAAGCTCTAGTGGTAAAGAATTCCAGAGTCTGGGGCCATACACAGCAAAAGAGCGGTCGCCCCATTTTTTATATCGAGACCGTGGGACAACCAAGGACGAGGAGCACACAACTCTGCACGGAGCATAGATAGAAAGCAGATCAGACAGGTATGGCGGAGCGAGGCCATATATAGCCTTAAAGACAAAAAGCAACATATTAAACTCAACTCTCCACTGTACTGGCAACCAGTGTAGAGAGAGAAGCACGGGGGTGATGTGGGCATACCTGGGAGTGTTCGACAGCAGCCGAGCCGCAGCGTATTGGACCAGTGGAAGCTTCCGAAGCAAAGACTGAGAAATACCAACGTAGAGGGCATTACAGTAGTTTAGTGATAGTCTAGTGAAGTGATAAAAGCATGGATGGCTTTTTCTAAGTCTTGTAGAAAGAAATTTTTGATAAAAGAATATAGTGCTATGTTATGTATTTGCAAAACTGCTTTAAAGATTGTTTAATCTGCTTGACCTTTGTAATGACTTGACCTGTGCATTTGAAATGCTGTGTGTGAGTAGGTGTCTAAGTGCAGAGACTCAGAACAACAGGAAGAAAGTGCAGATGCAGACTGAGACTGTCTGCAAGAAGAGCTGTGAGTGGGTATAATGTCTTAGGGTTTTGGCTTTATATTATCAACATGTACCAATAGTATAGGAAATGCTTAGTCTTCTATAATCAATATCATAATCTGCATTAGCAAATATACCTACATGTTTATTTCAGTATCATATGCTTTATAATTTCCTTTTCATTTAAACATTTAACTTGTCTTAAGAAAACAGAAGACTCAGAGCTGATAACAACAGAGCATGTGTAGGTTGGAGGTATAAGACAGGAAACCACAAACAGGAACAAGGCCAGGTTGCATAGCAACGCTGCCTGTCACAAGGGTAGATGAGACATGAGCAAGAGGTGCTGTCCCTAAAACTGTCTATGTGCTTAGGGCATTGAAAGGTCAGGATGTTGTTCTTAGAATCTCACAGATCAAAATCTGCCTGGCGACAAGATCACCAAATGAGGGGTCAGAACGAGGAACGTTCAGAACGTCAGATCAACCGACATTTTTACATATTCATGACTGTATTATAAATTCTCCGTGGTGAGGAGACTAGGGGTTCCGGCTTCCTGAAGAGGCTGT